ATTCTTCGGGGTCAACAAGCGTTGGAGCAACACAAGTTGATATGCGGCAAGAACAAGCCTATTTTACCCGTTATGCCGGCGGAGAGCAGTAAGGTCGAATATGACGCATGGGTAAAGACGCAACGGTTACCGTTCGTCATCTACGCCGATTTTGAGGCCTTACTGGAGAAAACAGACGATCGTATGGGTGCATACACCAGGACTGTGCACACTCACCATCCCATGAGCTATGGGTTCATGGTGAAAACATCGGACGATGTGCCCTCGGAGCTCCTCGAACGCTATGGTATACCACAATCACCGGTGATATACCGTGGGTCCGAGGATCGCGAAGAGGTCGCCAAGGCATTTGTGATGGCTGTAACTGAAGTGACGCGCAACATTTCTAAATTGTTGCGCAAAACCAACGTTCCCATCCAAATATCTATCGATGATGTGTGCAGGCACGGGGAGAAAGTGGTATGCGACTTGTGCTGCATGGCATTCAAGGATTCTAACTCCAAAGTCGCAGACCACTGCCATCTATCGGGCTGATTCAGACAGACGTTGTGCAATGCATGTAACCTGAAAGTAAAGACGGTCAATTTTGTGCCGTGCTTCTTGCACAATCTTTCGGGTTACGACGCGCATTTCATCGTCACTGAATTGGGGTACGACGACCAAAGGATTTCGGTCATACCGAATTCCGAGGAGAAGTATATTTCGGTCACGAAACACGTGACCAATAACTTCTCCATACGGTTTGTCGACACCTTCCGATTCATGGCCTCCTCCCTGTCCACCTTGGCCGGTAACCTAATGACACCCGACTTTGTTAAATTCCGGGAGACGGCCAAGGTGTTCCGCCCGGAAGACATGCCGTTGGTGACGCGTAAGGGCGTATACCCCTACGAGTACACTGATAGTTGGGCTAAATTGGAAGAAACTTTTTTTTTCTCATAAAATGCATACGGCAGTGACCATTAATATATTGTAACATCTTTGGAAATATGCTGACCTAAGCGTCTGGCATCCGATGATAAGATTCACACGACAATAATCATTAGTGTGCGATGACCTCTTTGATGTTTGAAATATGCTGACCTAAGCGTCTGGTAACCGATGATAACATTCTTAGGAATTATAATGTCATAACGACAGACGTTGTCTTTGTTCTTATAAAATGTAGACGGTAATGCGGATTATAAAATGGCGGTTGGTTTCAAGTTAAGTTTCATTACCCCTTCGCTCATTAGGACGTTGAGGAGATCCCCTACCCCCAACGACTTAGGTTAGTTTTCATTGGGTTTCACACATTGTGCGCACCTCACGCCCAATTGTCTTAATAGAGTTTGTTACAAATCGTTCAAGGAATAGTCAAGTGTGGTGGCGGCGGTCGCTACTTGACGTACACTATTTCAATGTAATGTATACATTAAATGATAAACGCAGTGAAGACTCGGGGGTGCTGGTAGTGGGGGTGCTACTTTAAATGTAATACCTCTAGTTATAGGTATAAAAAAATTGTCAAATTAAATATAATAAAATAAAATGCGATACACATATTATTATTTTAAAGGCGCAGTAGAAAATAATAATAATAGCGATTATACTATTATAGCAACCTAAACATAGTAATTCTAAAAATATATTACCAATTATAGTAATTATATTAATTATATAATTAATAGTAATATACTAATATTAACGAGATGTTTTTCTAAGCATCTGGTGGTAGGCAATGATAAAATACTATGTAAAAAATAAAAATGCAGACGCCTATGAACGTTATAATATAGCGGTACCTTTGATGTAGGAAATATGCTTCCCTAAGCGTCTGGTTACCCATGATAAATTTCTTAGAATTTATTATGCCATAACGACAGACGTTGTTATTGTTCTCATAAAATTCTGACGCCTATGAACGTTATATTATAGTACTGATGTCGGAAATATGCTTATCTAAGCGTCTGGTAGGCAATGAAAAAAATTCTTAGAAAACGTTGTTATTTTAAGTTGGATTCATCCCCGCCCATTACAGTTTAGTTTATGTCAAGATTCATTACCCCCTTCCTATGTAGGAAAAGTTGACGGAGACCCTGTAGCGTTAATATTAAGTAATTGAATTACACTATTTCAATGTAATGTGTTCGCTTATCAATGAACATTATCAGTTCCGTTATCAGTTCACATGAGGTTTACATTATCTTCTAGTAGATGACACCTTAGAAGGAGACAACCATATTGCTACCTCCCCTCACCACAGACATTAAGTTATAAATCGCATGCGCACTTTTAACCGCCATTTTGATTGATCTTAACATCCCTACCTAAGTCATCTATTACTTCCACTATCGTGGTATCACGCCTCCTCCTTACCACCACCATCATAGGACCAAACCTCCCCTTACCCCATCTGTGATAAGACCACGCCTCCTCCTTTCCCCCACCATCATAAGACCACGCCTCCCTTACCCCCACCCTCATAAATCCAATCCTTCCTTTCCACCACCATCGAAAGACCACGCCCACTGTGTGACCTTGACCACGGTCAATACCCCCACCATCGAGAAACCACGCCCACTATATGACCTTGACATTACCCCCATCATCGAGAAACCATGCCCACTGTGTGACACGCCGCCCCCGACCACGCCCACCCACCGATGGGTGGGTAGGTGAAGGGGTGAGGCGGGGGGGCCTAGAATTCCCTAAATTACCCTACTGGCGTCATCATAACATTTCATTTTTTATTCTATTATATAATACAACAAGTTAGAAACAGAACCAAAATATTTTAATGAATTATCATTTATATTGAATTCAAAGCATAAAGTTTTTGATAAATGAACTTGATGAGAGGGCCTCTTATATTAAAAAAAAAATACTTAACGTTAGCCAACTCGACCATTCAGTCGAGATATTGCATTTGCTGCCCCTGAGATCGTTAGAGCCATGTAGTTCAAAATATAATAATGTAAATTTAATATCTTAAGACTTAATTATAAAAAAAAAAAACTTATATCTAAGTAAAATAGAATAAAAATAATCTATATTTGAATGAAACAACCTAATATTCGCAAAAATAAAATGTTCTAATTAGACAATATTTAACAACTAATTTTGATTAAAAAATAAATAATATAGTTTTACCTCCTGTAAAGGTGGGTTTTTAAAAAGAAATCCGTTCGAAAAACTAATTGCTAGATACATAACAATGAAAATAGAGAAATACATTTTTCATTTGACAAATTCGGTGTTTTCGAATGAAACTGTTAAGAAAAAAAGTTGAAATGATAGATTAATTGAAATCCTACTTACTTTATAAAAATACTGTGTTTTTTTAATGTCAGTAACGCAGTTTTTTGAGTATTTTTAAAATAGCAATAAAATAAATGTACTAAATTTAATTTTGTTTTTAATATTTAATATCAGTTATTTAAAACTAAGTAAACATTTTATTTATTGTTTGTTATAGAACCATTAATTTTATTGTCAACATTCCACTAAAATACTAGTAAAACCATTATTTATATTAGTTATTAATTTACAAAATCACATATGTTTTTTAAAATATATACAAAAATACCTGCTCAACTTAAAGTAAAGAAGTAAATTATTTGTTTTATTTTATTGATCTCGTGATCTTATTTACCTCATTTTGTATTATTAGTGACGTGATTTTAATGAAACTTAGGAAATAAGAAAACAGACGTCATACAAAGTATTGAATAGATTTTGGGACGCTTTAATATATAATAAAAATTGATCACTTTCTAATATTATTTAAAATTAAAACTATATTAAAAATATTAAACTCAAAAAAATTACTAAAAAGTCACGGATACATATTTCTCCACCATCTTGACCGAAAAAATCCCTTAATATACTATTATAATAGATAGCTAGGGACAGGATCATCGACAAAAAATAAGCAAAAAAAATGGATCTTGGCTGATGCATTATGAATTCTGGGCGTATGTTTTTACAAACGAACGTGAGTAATAATATATTAAATATATTAAAAACATTTTACTTAAAAACAATTTCATTATACAGTTATATTAATAACTAAGTCTGTAGTACTAAACAGTACAAAGAAGAGTTTTACATATTAAATATATACAGCAAATTTAGTATACGCTATGGTATTTGTAGCTGGTTGTACTATGTATGGTATGTAGTAGGCTGTTTATAAAAGTAGTAGGGACACGGTGTCGGTTTACCGAACAGTGTATCCTAGGTTCTTATAATTTCGATTAAACAAGTCTGAACATGTTAAAACCTGTCTTAACGCGTTCAAATCCCTGTTCATCCTGTTTGAACCCCGTCTGCTTGTGTTTACAACTGTTTGTATCATATCTAACGGCGAAAATTAGACTATTAATTACTATTGGGTTTAAATTAGTTAATAACTTCACCGTGGTGTAAGCATAGCGCTCTAATCGTTATAAGATTTTCTATATAAACAGACGTTACTTTAACTTGTTGGTAATGTGTTAAGTCGATATTTGTATACTTTAAGAATGGCTGGTTCTCTCGCTACAATTGCCAAATTCTATAACAAACAAACATTTGCTAAACCCCAACCTCACAGTGAATTAATCGATTGCACTGATTACGTTTTGAATTTCAATCCTCGTAAATTCGTTCAGATAGGATTGGATCCAAAAGATCGATTTAACGTAACTATTCGTTTACTATCGTCAACCCGTTACATACTTATAACGATAGATTTCCTACAACGGATTTATACGTTGATGAGTAATATTCTGTCCCTAATTCTCGACCCGGTATCAAGACAAAGGATTATTTTACTCAGTGATGAATACCTTACACTCTCAAAGACTACATTTCAAGGAGAGTCTTCACTAGTCTTTGGATCATANACGTTTCAAGGAGAGTCTTCGCTAGTCTTTGAATCACAAGCACAAGATGAATGCCGAGTGTTACTCACCCAATCAGACATTTTAAAACTCAGCGCTTTGGAATGTTGTATCTTTGAGACTATCAATCAAAAGATGACTGTAATTCAACCATTGGTTCTACAACAGTTGGAACAGATGGCTCAATATATGAAATCTCAGTATGAAGTAAATGTGGAAAACAAATGTATGTTGATCAATGCGGTTTCGGATTATACGATTAGAAATAGTTTACCCAATAGCGATCTGAGCTACATAAGCCAAATAAAACAATTTGCAAGCCAGCAGTTGGAACAACGGTGGACGATGCTGGAAGAATATACTAAAGAAATGGTGAATTACATTTTTTTTTTCTAACTGAATAGAACATATTTAATAAATATATTTCATTTTTTTTTTTTCAGTCTTCTAATGGAGAAAACGTATGCTCGACATTTTTTGGGTCGTTGGCCGATGATACAACAGATGCAAATATACAGTCGGAAACAATCATACCATCAAGTACAAACAACCAAGAAATACCAACAGTAGTTGTTAGTAATAGCTATCCGTCG